AGGTCAAGTGACCGGTTTATTTCTAAAAATGCTGAAGTCAACCTAAGTCAAAACTATATAAATATACCATTACAAAACGAAAATTCCTTGGTTATTTAGACAAAAGAAAAAGAACCTGATTAGTCCACCGTATTTCATAAAAGTGGACTTCTGTTTGCTGCTAAAAATATCATGCGATTGTCTCCCGGCCTACTATTGAGGGATGCATGCTTATATAACGTCGCCAAATTTGCCAACGCAAAAATCATTCTATTCTCAAATCAGTTGATAAAAAAAGCCCACACAGATGTTTAAGGCTGCGCAAGTAATAAAAGTAGAGGTTGTCTCATTTTAAATTCACTTTAGGTAATTTATACATCCCTAACGCTTTTTTAAATTTACTTATTTGGGCTAAATAATTAAGTCTATAAGACCAGAATTAAAATAGTCAGATACCTACATGGTGCCAAAGAAAATAATTTTAAGAAAGTTGAACATGTAAACATTTCTAAAGACACAAAATAAAATTCAACCCAGTCATCAGTTTGTAGCCACGGTAATTAATTACTGTGGCTGTGATATATATTGCACATCTCCATTCAGCATAATCTTCCTTAAAACTCAGATGTATAACTATTTTTCATTTTTCACGATTTAACAGTTCAGTTTGTTGTTAACTAATCCTCCAAGTTCGTTAATACTATCAAGCGGCCGTTATCCTTGGAATTAAATATTCAAAACTGTAGTGAACAAAATTAAACAATCATCTTTACTTCCATATGTTTAGTTAGAATTTGAATAACAAAGGTACTTTTCCATTATAATCTTATCTTTGGGAGAAACCATTGAAAGATGTCAACGAAGCCGATGTTATTTTACTTTTCTGTTGATTTACTTATTGCAAAAAAAGTTCAATGGTTTATTCTATTAAATTTCCAAGACCAAAGAAACAAAAACTGAAGCTGGTATTCCTGCACAGTAAACAAGCAATACTTATAAAGTAGATTATTAAAAAATGGACAGTTGCTGTATCATTGTTATTCTAATTTTTATGTGTAAGGAAGATAAAATTCAGCTACTTCAATATATGTGAACAAAGTGTCTTCAAGATAATTTATTGTGTGGGAGTTTGGTGGTTTTGTGAAAAAATTAATTGCAACTTCACTTCAAAAAAAGGGAAGTAAAGTAAAAGTGAGAGGATGTGCTCATACCATCAGACATATCCCTCTCCCCTGAAAATTACACTCAGTTAAATTTAGTATGAGCCAGAAGAACCATGCAACCAGAATTCCACTGGTCTCCGAGGCCTGATGCAACTTAAAGCGCAGTGGAACCTCGATTTAACGAACTTCGATACAATGAAGTCCTCGATATAACGAACGATAGTCTTCAGCCCGACCAAAGTTACAGTAAAATGTATAGGAAAGAACCTCGATATAAGGAAATCCTTGTAGAACGAAAACAATCCAGAAGCCAAACGTATAATATACCCCGATATAATGAACAAATGTCAACACGTGACAAAAGACAAATGCAAAACAGACCAACAAGAATCAAAATCCTTTAATTGTATAACAATAGGACGTCACAGTTAACAGCTCATTATAAATGCCGACGGCGGTAAGGTAACGGCGCAGTTCGTAATTTCGTTCGTATACAGATACGAGAATTTCTTGAAGCCACTAAGTATGTCGGATGGTATATATTATTACTTAATGGCCGTTACGTACGTTTGCGTCAGTATAATAGAAAATTATAAGATAGCCAGTAACGCAATGACAAAACAACGAGATTTGTGATTATCATAAATCCCACGAATGCCGACACTGACACTATTGACACATCTACAAATCCGCTTTATCCTCTCTGTCTCTTATTAGTTACAATAAGGCTTCTTGTAGTTAAACTTGTAAAAGGCAGGAATTACCTCTTTAATACCCTTGTTTCTCTGTTTGCCAGTGACTTCCACTGAAATTTGTCCTCCGTGCTTTTAAAAGAAGGTGCTGTAGCTATGTACAGACCTGTACAGCGTACTGTAGCCTCATGTAGATATTAACGCGCAAATGTTCATTACAGTAATCGTTCCGATCCCGAAATGCCCGACGTCACACCACCGAAAAAAATTTTAACCATCCCTCGATTTAACGAACATTTTGGTTGTTTTTCCGCAAATTCGTAAAATCGAGGTTTTCGATATAACAAACCCTAATCTGCGTGTAGCCGTACCCCCCCCCCCAAAAAAAAAACAAACAAACAAACAAACAAAAACAAAAAGAAAGTGAAAAGGAAGTTAGGGAACCGTCACACTAGGCATCTTGTTTTCGGCGGGAAATTGGAACCGGTGAGGACTTCCTGGTAACATTACTAGAAACCACTGTTCAACCGACCGCGGTATTTGCAACGGCCGCCAAGGTATACATAGCTATTCTCGATCGGCTGCATTTCTATAGCATGACGTAAATACTACATTCAGAACGAGGGATGATTTGAAGGTGTGATTTGAATCCAAATGGCTGAGATGGATTTCTTAGTTGAGATCCTGTTAAGAAACAGTGTAAGAAACTGGATAACGGTTGGGAGGCAGCGCACACCGCGCACCCATAACGAAATATTAGAACAATTGGAGGCGAAATAAGTCAGAGGATATTGGAAGA